CCTAGCGATGGCTCCCGAGTATCTTGTGGGAGAGCCGCGGGTCGTGACTGCCCGACAGAGGTTTCTTGGGTCTGCACAAGGCACCGGCTGTAAGGGAGAACGAGCCCGTTTCCTCCCCAAGAGGGAGCTGCAGCACTGCGGGAGAGGGGCCGCCCGAGCTCCAGCTGGGCTCTCGGCCCCGGCACAAAAGGATCCGCTCTGGGAAGCGTTTGTGGCTGTCGGGACTGAGCTCCTCCTGGCGTGTGGAAGTGAAGCTCCCTAGGAGAGGAAGATCTGCTGGTCCCCTGCAACCTTTCCCTTTTTGCCCGTTGCAGATATCGCTCAGCTGAGGAAGAGGTTTGAGGAGGACAAGCAGAGGATCGCGCTGATGCGAGCCCAGCGCAAGTTCCGGCCCTACTAAGCTGTGTGAGAACTGTTCCTCAGCTGCCCCTGCTGGAGAGGGCAGGAGAGATGCCTGTGGACTCCATGTGCCAAAGGATTTCAGGGAAGGGAGGCAGCTTCAGGTTGTCCCTGCCCTTGGAGCTGAAATGGGAGATCCCTGTAAGTGCTGCTGGAGGGGGAGTTTCTGTCACTCAGGCTGGTGTCCTGCTCTCCTGGCCACCGTTTGGCCCTGTGGCACCACTTCCCAGGGTGCTTTGGTCAAGGGGCTGAGAGACTTGTGACAACCTGCACCTCCCTGCCACCCAGGGCCCTCCTGAAGGCTGGTGAGTGCTGGGATTGACCCGTCAGCCTTTGCAGGGGCAGGGAATGGCTGGAGAACTGTAAACTGCTCAGAACATAGCAGAGCCTCTCTCCCCCTGGGTCTGCTGTGGGGCACAGCTGGCTGTGGCAATAAAGGCACTGGGTTAGATGCTGGTGCTCCTGTGCATGTTTCCTCTGGGGGTATGAAGAGGGAGGTGACCTTGGTTTGGTGAGAGCATAACTGGGGAGTTCCCAGACCTGTTGTCCCAGGGAAAGATGGGTGGTTTGGGACAGAGCCCTACCCCTCCCCGTGGTGTTTCCCTCCCAGGCAGCTCACTCTCAGCCAGGTGCTGAGGCACCCAGTCTTCCAGCTCTGTGGACCTCTACAGCCAAGCCTAGCCTGCGCTGTGGGGACTTCTGTTGGCCACCAAAGGTGACCAAGGTGAGAGAGCAGCCTGGCTTTGCAGGAGGAAACCAGACTCTCCAGGGGCTGTTGCCGCTTGCCCTGTAGCCAGCCCACGGGAGGCAGGGAGGGCAGCGATGGACACATCCAGCTGCAGAGCAAAGCTTTGGTGCTGCCCACATGATATCTGTGCAGCTTTGGGCTCAGGGAGTGTCCAGCCCAGCACACTGTGATCAGAGCCCACCTACCCCCAGGCTGCAGCTTTGATGGGAGTGTGGCTGTGAATGCAGGGTGCAAATACTGCTGAATTCCAGAGAGCTGGCTTAAAACACATTCATGCTCCCCCAGAAGAGCCCCACTGCAAATGCCATTTCCATGGGCTTGCAGAGGGCGAGCACCCCAAAAGAAAGGAGGTTCATGCTCCTATAGAGCCAAGAAGACAAGAGTGAACATTGGGAGATTAATCTTTATTTAGGAGAAAAATAATTCTACCAACTCTTCCATTATTACCAGTTCTCCCAGCTGCTTCAGCTAGAGGATTAGTGACTCGTTCCTGAGGAGTTCATTAGAAGGGTCTCCCCTGCCCTACTGAGCTCTTATTTAAGCTGATTTTTTAGAAGAGCAGCAGCTCTCACAGTGGAACAGAGACCCTGAGGCCCCGGGAGCTCAGGCACCCACGGAAGGGAGCAGAGAGCAGAACACCCTCCTGGTTTCTCAGCAGGGCTAATCCCAGGAGGAGACTGGTTGCAGCATCCTCACGGAGGGGGTGAGATGAGCACCCACCTCTTGTGGTGCTGCAGCTGGTGCTGCTGCCCCAGGGGCTGCCTCTGCCTGCTCCACCTCAGGGTGCAAGGTCAGAGCAAGCAAGGGCAGGGCTGTGCTGGGCCCCTGTGTCCCTGTACTCGGAGCTGGAAGTGCAGGAAGGATTCCTCTTCCCTTTGACCAGATACTTGGCTCAGCTCTCTTCCAGGGAACCCCTGGCAGATCTGCTTCCACCCTGGGGTGAGCTGAGCTTAGGCATGGATGTGAGGTGGGAAAGGTGACAATCTCTCCAGAGCCTGCTTTCTAGCTGCCTGTTCTGGAGAGCTGCAGCAGCAAGGGCCTCAGAGCCTGGCCCTGGTGCTCTGTGCTGTCAGGAAGCTGCTGATGGTCCCAGACACCACCTCGGGCTCGTTCAGGTGCACGAAATGACTCCCAGGCACCTCGACCAGCTGGATGTGCTAGAAGGAAAGGACAGAGGCCACGTGGAGCAGGAAACGTTCCTCGGGCACGCCGGGCTCGTGTGCTGCTCGTGGCAGGTGCAGGGACAGTTTGTTCTCACCTCTCTGAGGGTGGACTCGAACGCCTCCCGTAGGGCTTTCACAAAGTGATTTCTGCTGTGCAGCTTGTGTGGTACCAAGAGCCCATCTTGTGCTCTGAAAAGCAAGGGCAAGGCTCAGTGCAGCACGTGGTGTGCCTCCTGTTTCCTTTGCTGCTGTCCTGGGCAGAAGCAGAGTCCCCAGGGCAGCAGGGTGACAGACCTGACTGCTCTGCCCAGGCTGCCTGGGCTCACACACAGCTCCCTGGATGAGCCAGGCCTGTGCCATCTCCTGCCCTTGCTGTCCTGGGCAGAAGCAAGGTGACATTCCAGCTCAGAGACATGTACCCTGTATGGCCTAGAGGGCCTGTCCTCACCCTGAGGCTGCATTTCTGGACAAGCAGGAAAATCCTTAAGCTCTTACTATTCCAACAGACCAGGGAAGCCAAAACTGCACCTCATTTCTCAACTTCTGGCATCTCCTCTCATTTCCTAGAGAATCTTTTAACAGCACCACACAAGCCAAGCAGAGCCCTGCACTTGCCACCCAAGGACCTGGGGAAATGCAGAGGAGGACTGGCAGAACCTGTTACCCACCAGGACAACACGACCCGTTGGGAGGCTCTGCACAAGCCACTGGCTACCTCCCCCACCTCCTCCCTGCCTCGGGGGCACAGGGGAGAGCTTCCAGGAGCTGGGTCAATAATGGAGGCTCTGGGACCAACTGGAGGAGGTGGAGGCTGCTGTGATTTCACCCGTTTGCCCAGGCAGGAGGCAAACTTCTGGGGCCTGCAGAGGGGGCAGGCTGGGTGGCTGTGACTGGGGAAGTCACGCCAGGAGGACAGCAGGTGGGAGAGGTGCTGTGGAGGGTGACATTTGCCAGGATGGTCCTTTGCTGTGGGGCCAAGGAACAGAAAGCTGTGGGACAGGAGCAGGGGGAGCACAGGGCAGGACTGGCATTTCCTCAGCCAGCCTGAACAGATGTTCCAGCTGCTCTCTGCCTGCCCCAGGAGCCTGCCTGGCCCAGGGCAGTGGTGGAGAACTGGGAAATGTTCCCCACATGTGAGGCCACACTGTTGTGCCAGCCTGAAGGTCTGGGTGGCTTCTGCAGTGGAGGAGGGAATAGCAGAGGACTCCTTTCTAACCCTCCTTCCCTCCAACCAGGGCTGTGGGGAGGCAGTGAGGGGTGGTTTGGCTCATGCCCCACTCACACGACGATGAGAACACGGTCCTGGATCTTCTGCAGGAGCTTCACACACTGCTCCACCGTGAGGGACTCTCTGTCCTGCTGCAGGTGTGGGGAGAAGGAGAGCAGCACAGGTCAGGGAGAGCAACCAGGGCAGGGGTGTCCTGGGCCCTGCCACACCAGCAGCTCTGGAGGCAGATGTGCTGGCTCTGCTGAGGCCCCTCCTGCCCGGCTGCCTGCTGGGCTGCAGCACACACAGGAGAGATCTCATAGAGCAAAGCTTTCAAAATCCTCCCACTGAAAAGGAGCCATGACACCACCCTGCCTTCCGTGCCCTGGTGGTAGCACAGGTAGGGGCCCCAACTTGCTCAAAAGGGGCAAAAAGCTACAAAAATGTTAAATGTCAGGACTTTGCTCTGTGCTCTCTCCCCTTCTTATAGGGGTGGCCTGACAAAGCGGCCGACCAAAAGCTTCCATCCATCCATCTGCTGCCTGAGAAGTTCTAACAGCAGGAAGATGTGGCCAGGAGGCCCTGGGGCAGAGGAACTGCTACAAAAATCAGTAACATTTTCCAGTGACTCTGTAAGCAGAGTCAATTAACGACCGAGTGCAGGCTCTTCTAACAGCAGCATTGAAAAGAGATGTGGGAACTGGGGAAGCAGCAGGTGACTGGCTGGGTGGAGGCAGGGCCTGGGCTCAGCCACTGGGCCTCTGCTGCCCCTGCAAGCTCAGGGCTGGGAGGCAGCAGGGGCGTGTCGCTCACCGTACGGACTCTCATGTCTCTGTTGTACACCAGCCCTGGAAGGAAAAACACAAGAGAAGGTGTTTAATGTCTCAGGGGAGCAGGAGCTGCACAGTTGCTCCTCATCTTTGGGGTCTGACCCAGACTTTTTGAGTTGGGAGGAATAGGATTAATCGAGATCTCTCCTTTCTTTGATTTCTTTTCTTTAGCAGTTCTAGGACTCGAGCACCAACCCCAGTTGCTGCGATTGGAGAGCTCTGCCTCCAAACTTAATTGATCCCATTCAGGCTGGGTAAACTTGAAGCTAGGGCACCCTGTACCCTGTGGAAGACAATGGCTGTTGGCACCACTCCCTTCCCTCACCCAGTTTTGGCCCAGCACTGTGATGAGCCCTGTCTCCATGCAGCCCCTTACCAGCGGGTGTCTCAGTTGCTCCTCTCTGCAGTAGGATTGCCCCACCCTCTGCTGTCAGATGTGTGTTTGCTTCTAAGAGCCTGGGGGAGACATGGCAGAGAGATTGTTCTGCTGGAAAAGGGAAGAATTGAAGCGCAAATGGCACGACAAGGTGACAGTGAGCTCTCAGGCTGCCTCAGAAAAGAGCAGGGAGAAACAACAGCTGCTGGCAGCAGAAGCAAAAGGTCTTGCTGAGATTCCAGAGAAGGACTTGAAAGGGGAAGTGCAGGGACAGTTTCCCTTTCTTATTTATGCAGCTCTAACTCTGTTCAAAGTGAGGGCAAGCAGCGAATGAAGAGGCCAGATGGGAACCCACCTCTGCAATGCTGCTTCAGGGCTCCGTGCTTTGGGAGTCTGCTGCTTTGCCTCTAGGCTCAGTAATCTGTCAATCACTGTCCGTTTTGATTTCAGCCATGCCTCAGTGTCCTGCAACAAAGAGAGGTGGGGACCAGGAGCCACCAGTTACAGACATCCTATCACAAATGCCCCTTTCTAGGGAAAAGGGAACAGCAATACTTAAAAGGCAAAGTAAGAACAGAAAGCTAAGCACTGCTGCAACTAATTTACTTTTTACCCTTGCAATATTTTCTACCCCTTCCAACCTCACTTTTGAGTTGAGGACAACTGTCCAAAAGAACAAGGTAAACCTGGTATCATTTGTCTCTCTGTCCCTGGGCTTCTATCCCACTTCTGCCCAACCAAAGCCCCAGCATCTGGTAGCAATGATGGCAGGTTGGCAATGGAGCTGTATGTCCTGCCAGGAACAGGAAAAGAAATCCACCCATCTTGCACCCAGGCCACCCAGCAAGCTGTTGGCAGAGAGACCACCTCAGCTGGCAGCTGCTTGCACAGAGGGTCCCATTGCCTTTGTGCAAGGGCACGGCACAGAAGTGAACTTCAGTGCAGGGACTGCAGGATGTGGAGCAGTACAAAGTGTCCCCAGAGGGCCATGCAACAAGGAGCAGGTCTGTGCCTGCCAAAAAGAAGAGCCCCTGAGACTTGTGTAACCTGCCAGGAGCTGGTCACATCGGTGCTTTCTCTGAACAGATGAGGGAAAGAAAAAGAAAAAAAAAACAACTAGTTTTTATTTAAGAAGTAGGAGGGGAAGAACATGTGAAAACTAACCTCTGGAGCTAGCAGAAAGCCAAGACTTTCCAGCAGGATCAGCTTGTCCACCATCTCAGGATAAAGGAAACAGAACTGAGGAGAGATGAAACAGTATGAGAGAAGGAGAAAAGCTGAGCACTGAGTGATGTCTTCACCCTGCCACACTGGAGAGGGGGTCAGGGAAGGGCCTCTCCTCCCCTGAGACCCAAGCCCCACACAGTCCCTCCCTTCATTCCTCTCCCATTTGTTGTTGCAGCTGCAGAAATCACAAACTCCATGAAGAGAGGACTTCACTCACCATTCCTGCCACAGCCCCACCTGTAAAGGAGAGAAGAGGGCTGAGTTACTCGCAGGACAGCCCCCAGTAACAGAAACTCCATGGTGTGCAGGGCCTGGGAGCTTGGCCAGAGCAGCCCCAGGAAGCAGAACCCCACTTGTGGCCAAACACAGTCACGTCCCAAGCACACAGAACAGAGCCTGAGGCTCAGTTGCCCTCAGCACGCTCCCTGACCCACCAAGAAGGGTGCTGCTGTCCCCAGGCTTTCCAGGGACAGGAAGGCCTTGCTGTGAATTCTCCTGGAGACCACCCCTCTTTGCCCACTGCTGGTCCCTCCCCGGGGTGGGGGAAAGGCCCACAGCAAGAGTTACCACTGTTTGTACCACAGGGTCTGCAAAGCAGAGGCATTTCCAATGAGGGCACAGATTTCTGAATCACTCAAGCAGCAGGCTGGTACTTGACAAAATACAATAAATATTCCAAACCAGCTCCTAGCAGCATGTCTTGTAAGTTAATTATCTGCTTCCACTTCCCTGAATTTCACAGCTTACAAGGACAAGAGCCACTTACCCATACTGTGACCCATCAGGGTGAACCGTCTCCACTGCAAGGCTAAGTGGTAACACAGAAACAGAGAGTGCTGCATTAGACACCACAGCAGCAGCACCTCGCTGCTTCTTCACCAAGACAGGCCCCTTCTCCCAGGAGGGCTTTTGCACTGCTTGATTTGCTTCCTAATCCAGAAATGAGGTGGCTAAGTAGGCCAGTTTTAAAGAAAAAGAGCATCCAGCCACCTCATTTCTTTGGTAGTTAAGTCACAGGGCTCTCGAGCTCTCTCTGTATGGTGAACAAGCTGCATCAAATTCCCACTCGTTGCCAGACGTGAGACTGGCAAGAAGCAGGAGTCTGACTGGGCAGCAGCTGCTGGCAGAGAGAGACCCTGACAGAGTGCCCTGCTGCAGGGCATCCCACACGAGCCATGAGGACACAGGGCCAGGTCTGCTGCCTTGAGGAAAGCAGGATTATTCCAAGTGAAGTCTCTCTGCAGCATTTAGCCCATCGGGCTCTTTGTTTCTAGGAGGCTTAGGGGGAACTCCTGCTTCATCAGTGCTGCCAACCTGACATGTACCTCAGTGAAAGAAGTGTTTTACCCTCTGGCACATCAAAGGACTTTCAGAGGCTCTCTGTATACTGAATAAGGGATGCAAAACTGCATGTGACAACGTCCTGCAAGGCCAGCACACAGACAGGCACTCGGATCAAGAGCTACGAGGAGCCCAGGACACCTCAGCTTTCACATTTCTTCACACAATACAAAAGCAAGCAGCAAACTGCCACGGAGAAAACGAGAAGAGCCCCCAACTTGCACGTCACACTGGTTAGAGGTCACTGGCTGATTACAGAAAGTCATCCACCACTTAACCACTACTGCTTTTTAGGATAAACACTTGCTTCCCAGGGCTGGCTGCTGCAGCTTCTCACAAACAGTGAGAAAGAGAGATGCTTCCTAAGTCTATGGTCACAAAGCACCAGCTGACATCAGGCTGGGGAGAAGCAGCAGGGAACTACCCCTCTCCTGGCAGTAAATGCTGCCTGCTGGTTCTCAGGAGCAGGGGTAACAGAGCAACCCCTGCACCAACACCCCCTCGAGGGTCCCCCCAACCACCCACCTGCTGCCACCCGGCGCACATCGGTCACGTAATCCAGAAAATGGTAGGGGGAGCCTGTGGGTCGGTGGGACGACAGGCCGTGGCCAGAAAAGTCCATGGCCACGTAATAGCAACCTGAAAGGGAGAGAGGAACAGATGGGTGGCCCTGCAACACAACCAGACCCATCCTGATGAGCCAGACCTACCTCTGGGGAGCAGCGGAATGAGCGTGTCAAAGGTGTTGGCGTTGTCCAGCCAGCCATGCAAGCACAGCACAGGGGGTCCCTCGGAGGGTCCCCAGGCCTTGGCTGCCACGTGGCCCCAGGGCACGGGGAACTTCAACTCTGAGAACATGCCCAAAACAGAGCGCTTGCACCTGATGTCCGTGGAGAGCCACGTGCTCAGAGCAGGTCCCTGGGATCTTGTTAATGGCCCAGAGCTCTGAAAAAAGTAATACAGGTCTTTAGTAACTCACCAGCCTCCTGTGGTCTTAATTAGCAGCTTGCTGATTTGTAGCTCCCCATTCAACATCCCAGGCTGCCATCCCTGCCCACCTGTTTGGGGAATCCTCCTCCCAGCACGTACTAGCAATGCTCCTAGGAAGAAACAAGCTTTCCCCACACAGGAGGAGAAAGCCTCTTCTTTGTGTCTCTGCAGCAGCTGCAACCTGACCAGAAGGCAAAGCAGATCCGGCAAGAGGGAACCATACAGAATTTCCCCAGCTAGCTGCAGTCAGCCAGAAACCTACCCTGGACCAAACAGACGATTTCAGGAATAAGGCTGCTGCTTCCAATACTAGACTGTTCTCATCTTCTCTTCTACCTTGGTGCCTCTCCTCTTTCACACCACCAGTCGGCACCTTCGAGAGAGCAAAGGACTGCGTGCCACACAACAGGTCATTGCACGGGAGGCTGGCACCCCCCAGGGCCGGGGACCCTGCACGGGATAGGGGTCTGCAGCCTGCCAGGCACCCGCTCCACCTCAGACCTGCCTCATCTGTCTGACAATCACCTCCCTCTGACCTTTACCCAGCCCCGGGCTCCCGAGTGAACCTCCCAGGGCTGCCCAACCCCTGGGGATCCTCCAGGGGTGGTTTGAGTATTGCCCCTTTACACCCCAGCACTTCCGACCCCTGGGTCCCTGCCTGGGCAGCCTGACTACCCTCAGGTCTCTCACGTCACATCCCCTCCCCAGAGTCTTGTCTCAAGTCTCCGAGAGCCCCACAGCGACTCGGTCAGCCCAGTGTCCGCCCAGGTGTGCGGAAAGAGGGGCGGGCCG